AATTGGGTTCCCTTGTCTGTCTTTTATAGGTTTCACTTGTGTTGATCACTTCCCCGAAAGAGACTTGGTTATCTGATATAGTGTCCTCAGGTCCCTTTTACCTGCTGCCTTTTCAGCTTCAGTGGCCAGGTTGTCGTAGAATTGTCTTTTGTCCTTTCTAGCACTCTTCTTCACTTTTTTGTCCAGTGCTGTGTATGTTGAGCTCAGCGTCTTTTTCTCTTGCCCGTCTTTGCATTGAATTTTTTTCTCTTTCACCATTCTCCTCTCCTCTATTAGCTTCCAAGTGTCCGTTGAGAGCCATTCTTGTCTTGTCTCTTCTTTCTTCCTAGAACCGTTGAACGCGTTTCGTTGAAAATCGCCTTCAGAGAGTTCCAGTGGTCTTCCACGCATGATTCTTCAGTGATGTCACGTAGTGTTTCCTGCTTTGCTCTGACAGTTGCAATGAAAGTGTCCTTTGTGGTTGTGTTCTTCCGTAATTGAGTGTTGAACTTGCATTGTGGCCTATCCCCAGTTATCCTCGAGGCTTTTAGCTTCACCTTGAAAGTCCCTTGTACTAGATAGTGGTCTGAACCCACATCTGCTCCTCTCCTCAACCTTGTGTCCACTAGACTCCGTCTCCACTTTCTTGAGATTGAAATGAAGTCTATCTGGTTTTTGGTGTGTCCATCTGGTGAAATCCATGTCGCCTTGTGTATATCCTTCGGTTTGAACACACTACCGCCAATCACCAAATCATTGAAGGTGCAGAAGACTGAGAAGAGTTCATCATTGTCGTTCATTTCACCAAGGGCCTCACGACCCATGGTGAGTTCTCTTCCTGTATTGTCTCCTCCCAGCTTCGCATTCATATCACCCATCAGGATTTGGATATCGCCATTTGGATTGTTGTCCATTACTGTTTGTAGTTGTCTGTAGAACGCCTCATTCTTTTCTTGTTCTGAGGCGTTTGTGGGCGCATAGCATTGGATGATTGTAACCTTCCTTCCTTTAGAGTTGAACCTGGCTGTCATTATCCTGGAGGAGATTGGTTCCCACTGCATGAGAGCTTTGGCTGTTATTGGTGACATCATGATGGCCACTCCCTCGATGTGCTCGTGGTTGTCCTCTGGGTGACTGGAATAGATTATTGTCTCCCCAGTTAGTAGTTGGCACCTACTACATCCGTTCCATCTGCTTTCGCAGATTCCCAGCACTTCTATTCTATATCTCCTCATTTCTGCTGCTACCTGGGCAGCCTTTTCAGTTTCGTACATTGTACGAACATTCCATGTAACCATCCTTATTTTTGCTTTCATCACCTATTCTGGTGGCATTTTCCCTCGAAACGTAGCATTCAAACCCATGCGAGAGTGACTCAGTTTCAATTATCTCCTCAATCGATACCCTATGGACATCACGTTAGGGCCTTCATGACAGCCATTGCGCACTGTCACACTGTTTCTTCCCCAGGTTATCTGACAGGATCTACAAGCAACTTTGAAATGCTTTGTACTGAAATCTTGTATGAAATTCATGAATTTTACTTTGAGCAATATGTTTAAATCACAGTGGACATTCTCGGAAGTGTCAGATTCCATTCTCACGTTCGCAATCCGTGATTTCCTGGATTCAGTATGAAATTTTCTTCCACTTCTGTGGCATGCAACTGGAACCGAAGATGAAAACTGTCACTTGATAGTTAACTCCCTCGGGAAGCTAGTTAGCCGTGCAGAATACTCTTACCACTAATCAGCTCGCAAAATCAGAAGTCTGGCGACCTCCATCATCAAATCAACTTTGGACTGAAATAGACTGTATGACGGCGGTCATTATCCCGAGCGAGATCGCCTCCCATTGCATTAGGGCCTTCGTCGCCGTTGGTGACATCATGATAGCCACGCCCTCAGTGTGCATGTGGTTGTCTTCTGGGTGACCGGAGTAGATCACTGACTCTCCTGTTGACAATTTAGGGAGTCCGTTCCCGTCCCATCTGCTTTCACATATTCCCAGTACTTTAATTCCGTATCTTTTCATCTCGTTTGCAATCTGGGCAGCTTTGCCAATCTCGTACATGGTGCGGACGCTCCATGTCCCCACATAGACTTTTTTCTTTTGGCGCGAGGTGATTCATCGTGCTGAAGTTTCTGTAGTAACTTTGTTCACAGGGTGGGGTTGCTAGTCTCACGCCTGAGAAGGGGATTGTTACATTAAAATATAGTTCACAGAGGAGCGACCTTAAAACCAGCAAAACAAGGAATAAAGCAATCAGAACAACACCAACAAAAGGAAAATAATTCACAGCAGGAAGGGCAGCGACAAAAACAATAAAAAAATAACCTTAGCAGTATTATCACAGTCAGATAAAGTTAACAAAAATGATACCAAAATCATAGACTCACTGACTTGAGCCGACTTAGACGTGTAAATCCATCAATATATACAGTTATAGATATTAGTTAGTGTTAGACAGTCACAAAATAGCAAGCAGATAGTCATAGGTATTATCGGTCAACAAGATTATATCCACAGATTCAGTGTTTGAAAGGCAAATAATTACAATAAGTTCCGCAACTTTTTGGCAAGAAACACCACAGAAGTAAGAGTTTTATATAACTGAATGAATGTAGCGTGACAATCATATTCGAAGTGCTGATATATTCTACCGTTTATAATTTCAGTGCATATACTACACAATCTGACATTTTCCTTGTGTAATGTTCTCTTCAAGTAGATCAATTTATTTTCAAGATTCTGTTCCCAATTTATCCGTCTCAGTGATTTTCTCACCAATCCTACTTACTGCTCAGATTATCACGACACAAATATAGTTGGATATAAGTTGATTGTGGCAATACTCACAATTCATTGTCCACAAGTGAGCAAATTCAAGAAATTATTTATTAAAACATATTCTCGTTTTGAAGATTATTATTATCAAACATTAAGCTATTCCTCTGTGTGCAGGAATCTGAATAGCATTAATTCACTATTCTGCCAAATATAAATCCCTAAATTCATCCGTCCCTGTGTTGTTGGTTGATTTCCTGTAATTCAGTCATTGCGAAATACTACTAATACAAACAATACAACCATAGTCAATCTGCGGTGTGTTGTTTTTCATCACCATATTTACTGACTGCAAAACTCCGTGTAAAAAGCCTGACACTGCACGTTGATAATTGGGGCACTCGTGATTACAGAGAGTCATTATTTATTGCGTTCAGGGAAGTGTTGACGAAAAGGTGAAATCTGTTATTTTGAGACTGTTCTGCTAGCCAGAAATCCCCAGACAATAAGGTTGTTGATATGAAAGACAGAGTAGTCACTTTAAGAAAGGATTTAGGAAGGTTTCATTATCGTTTGGTGTATCTGCATGACCCTTCACTTTATAAAATTGACTGGGGAAATTATATATACGTCAACTAATATTTAATAACTTCCTTCGGATATTTTTGAAAATGACAAAATAGAGGAATCAATCTTAATTCTGTTTATGTTTATTTATCAAAACATCCTGTTCATATATTCTGCCCAATCTGATATTCAACTTCATATTATTATATATTTATATTATATTCATATTATATCGCCTTCCTCGACGGACAATGTTAGCTGATATTGGGTCAGGCTGGAAAAGAGCTAGCGGAGGTCAAACAAAAACGTAGCACCAGTCAATGAAATCTACAAAAGTTAGTCTAAGCCACGTAGGAAAGTGTAGACTTCCTGGTTGGGGTCCTCGGGACGGTAAAATCCAATGGTTGGAAACAATTGGTGACATGCCTCAAAATCGTTCTCAGTGGAGCAGATGCATCCACTCCTTATGACTTATGATTTCCAATGAAGCTGGTTTGTTCTTCGTCATTACTCTTCCTTTGTCTCACACCTTTGTTTACTGTCTCTATTATGCTTTTCTTCTACTTTCTTCTCTTGCTTTGTGTGCTACATGGAGTGTGGCGACTTGAACTCCCGCACACATGTGCAAAGTTCTATGTCGAGGATAGACGGACTGACGGACAGACTATGTATGAACTCTTGTCTGATACAACAGATAATCAGACTTCTGTAAAAAAATGCAGTCGGTTGAATTGCACGCCACTTAACAGCCACATACAATATTGTACACTAAAGCTTAACTCACCCCTTTCTTAAATGAAAACTCCCTATTCCCCCTAGCTAGTTGAATCAAAGTTCGTGTAACTCATCACTTAGGAGTTGGTAGTTGTGTACTTACACCAATAAGCGAAAGCTATATTACTGACTAATGATTAATGAGAGAATCTATTATTCACAGTGCAGCTTTTTTCGTTTATTTTTTACTAATGGAACTCAGACTTGGTACATTATGGACGTCAAGAGATGCAGCACACGTAATATCTCATGTTGCTCGGACGCCCAGACTGAAGAAGGTTGTCTTAAGAGGCCACACATCCAACCGACCCTTTGACTTGAAGTCTCATTCACAAAACAGCTAGGGCGCACCATGACTGCTGGTGTCTAAAGCCGGTTCTCACACCATTGGATCCTTTCGGAGACTAGAGAATATATACATCATATTTTTTGAGTCAGAGTTTTTCCACCTCCCCTACATAGACCGGTTGTAAGCACCAGACTTTCGCATTCGCTTTTTCACTTTTGTGAAGGCAGTGAATGGGATTTACCTGGCAGAGGCAATGCACGCGTGGCCGCATGATGACAGCCTGCTCATCTTTGATCGTATCAGGTCGTTTGTAAATGTAGTAGTCTTCAGTATGCATTCATAGTTTTTGCAAAAATCCTAATCCCAGTTTATTTCCAACACTGTGCGTCAGGTAAGTTAATTGTATATCCTGGTTTCTGGTCCTATTTTGTACTTTTATTATTTTAGTTGGATATTTGTAGCCTAAATAATCTTATCATCTGCCTAGTAGGGTAATATTAGAGTGTTTTGCGTAAATTTAGTGTCAGTTAAGGATTTAAAACTGTTCTTTGTCAGGAATAATAATAACGGTATTAATGTAAATTCATTTTGCCATTTTTCGTAGAATATTGTTTTATCTGGAGGTAGTTCAATGTTTAAACACTTGGATCGTCGTTTACAAAGAGATATAAAAAGAAACGTTGATAATCGTTTGAAAATGACTGAGGAACTTACTGGTGGTCGTGTAAAGGTAGGCAAAAGTGTTCCTTTCTGTTTATTATGTATATCATTTCTTTGTGCGTTCTCAGTGGAGCATAGGGCTTCAAGTTTGGGCGTTTAGGTTTCATTGGCAGCGATGCTTCTTTTACAGGTTGGGTTTACTAGCCTCCCATCTTTTCCGGGTTTACTACCGACTTGGTGCATTTTAGGAGTGCTTCGGTGGGGAATCAAGCCCCGAGCTGGACCGTATATGGCGTGGTTGGCTCATTCCTCACCACCGAACGGCCGACGCACGTTTATCCAATGTAACCTCCACGTCTATTCTGCGCATGTGACTTTTTCACATTATCGGAGTGTGTTATTTTTAAAAGAAACTTTTCAGTGAGTCGAAGTAAGAACGACTATTGTTCTGTGTAATACATGCATAAGAGAGTATAATCCAGATGGTATAATCCAGAAAGATTAAAAGGCACTAAAAGTTAAGAATTTGTAAATCTTTAGGTTTGTAAGATGTGACTGCATTTAAAAAAACCGAATTTGCCATGAATCTAGACAGGTTATTGTGAATCACTGGGAACCAAAAACTATACTGGTCAGTCCTTTTGTTCTACTTTTAGATCTACGACTTCATGGTTAATAAAGGTTGAGGTTGTTAAGTTTTGAGGCAAGCAATACTTCTTTCAGTTCATAATATAGCACAACTGCCATCCAGTATCATTGACATATGTTCTCAAATGTGAAATTAGTATATCCTATTGGTGACAACTCACTAGAGTAACAGGAAGCCTAGTTCATTGTCAGCTGGCAATCATCGGCGGACATACATCAAGTTACTGAGAGGAAAGGTGAATTCAAACGTTTGAGGCTTACAACCATACTGGTGGACATACAGGTCTACCTGGTGGGTCTGGAAAACCCTGATATCAAACCTATGGTGTAATAGAAAAAATTTGTAACTCAGGTGGATGGTTTGCAATTAATGGTGTTCTCTGAGCTGGTTGGTTTAGTTGCAATTAGTAAACACGTTAATATAGATGAAATATATCAACCAATAAAAAGTAAATCAGATGACAAGAAAGTTTAAAATCCCAATCAATAGAAAACGGTCAATACATATCTAAAGATGGTTAACGGGAGACGCAATTATAATACTCATGAAAAATTGAAATCATTTCACTTTATCCTAAATACTGCGCTGAAGATGTCGTCCAGAAAGATGACGAAAGCTCCGCAGCTAAACCAACCAGCTCAGAGAACACTATTAATTGCAAACCTATGGTGTGTACATGGGCTCCAAAATCCGAAGGGACCCAATGTCTTATGAACCTGTTTGGGTCACTATCGACCATGCAGACGTAGCTCCACTGTCTTGTGGATCAGAGGCTCGGACGTTCTGTGTGGTCATTTAAGACCATTACCTGCCTCGGTATGAGCACCCAGTCAGTATCCCAGGGCTTGCACGAACTACAGGATTTCGTATGGCATATCTGTCGGTGCTCATAATGTACAAAGTTTGTGTTTTCAATAGTAATAATAATACTGAACTGATTTCATAGTAAGTTCCGTCTGAAGGAAATATCTCAGTGTCTTTCAGTTCGTAAAGAAATTTACATGGAGGAATAATTAGCCACGTGGTACAATTATACGTCCCTATATGTCACAATTGTTTCTGTTCGCCTCAGACTGAGTATCTGAGTCCCAAATGGCTTGTCTGCATTATAGATATGCTAGTCTTTTTTTGTCATACTGAATCAAATTCGCTATTCGCAAACTACAGTTCTAGGTGAAAACTAACCACAGTTTCCTTTTAGAAACCAAAAACGTCCACATCACTGTGTATAATTGGCATAATATTATAAATAACAATCAAGAAAGACTCATATGAGTATCTGGGAATCACTCACGTCAACCAGTGTATATTTTGATTTTATGAATGATAACCATTTTTCTCCAAGTAGCTATTCAGAATTTGTGTGGTAGTTTCAAATGATTAAGCTCTTTAGATTAAATCTAACACGGCATATTGCTAGAGAGGCCAACATCTAAAGGAGGGAAAATATCGATATAACTTCGCAACCCAATCGATTGACTTCCCCTCCTTCCCTAACAATCTACGCCCAATCTCACTGTTGTTACTATATTACAGTATGCTTATTTCGCTTATATGTATAATAGTTTGTACTTGTCTTTTGTTGATTTCAACTTCTTGATTTGTGTTATTTTAGCCGAAGTCTGTAGATGTCAAAGTTGTCTCACATCCAATGCAACGTTATGCTGTTTGGTTCGGTGGATCATTACTCGCGAATGAGGTAAGTACTTTACCTTTTTTCTTTTCTTACCACCATGTGTAAAGGAATATGGTAAGGCTTTGTATTCACAGTCATCAATAAATGTTCAAGAACCAGTTCATAGGGATTTGATTTGTTTCAAGTCTGATCATGGATTGATGTCGGTTAGTAAACCATTGAAAACCAAGTGGCTGGAGTGGTCAACGAGAGTTTCCTCGTAATCCGAAGGCCTCTGAGTACAATCCCTGGTATGGTCACGGATGCTGTGTACTACTGAAGAGTCCAAAATCAAGATGAAATGGCTGTCCAAATCTTCCTAGTTTTCACAGTTGTTCTCTAACTGATATCAATCTGCGATCAAACTCAAACCAATAAGTTGTTTAAAGAAACTTCTGTGTCCTTTTTCCTTCTGGACATTATAAAGTTTATTCTTTTGATACTTCTGTTTTGTCTCTGCTTACGTCTAAATTATATAGGTGGCACAGTTATAGCTAGAGATGAAAAGGTCTTCCATTGTGGGTAAAATTTATTTTGATAAATTCTCAGTGTTTTACAGTAATATTTACTGATGACGTTTCGACCACAATTTATTGCTCATAATCATATTAAGTTACTCACACAACATTCTAACTTCGTTTATATAATTCCATTAGTTTTCATCTCCTGACTTAATTAGTAATAGTATTTTCTATATTTCCGGTATTAGTGATGAGTCATTCCTGTTTTATGTGTTGGGTGTAGACTCGATGAACAAAGATTGAGTAGTCAACCTCTCTTTCCACCTACTTATATTACTTCGTAGAATTCTAGCCCTCTCCCACCCTATTGTGTGGTTGTGCGTTAATGCATAGGTAAGTGGAGAGAGGTTGACTACTCAATCTTTGATCATAGAATCTACACCCAACACATGAAACAGGAATGACTCATCACTAATACAGAAAATACTATTACCTATCAAGTGAGGTGATGAAAACTAATGGAATTATATAAACGAAGTTAGAATGTTGTGTGAGTAACTTAATATGATTATGAGCAATAAATTGTGGTCGAAACGTCATCAGTAAATATTACTGTAAAACACTGAGAATTTATCAAAATAAATTCTGCGCACAGTGGAATTATACTCAACTACAGTACACAAGTTCCTTTCTCAAATCAAAGAAAAGGTCTTATTATTATGATTGATGAAGTTAATTGATTATATTTGGAGTTTGCATTTAGATACTGGAAGCGAGTCTTCTGGATATCCTGTAATCTTACCTTCATAATTGTTCGTACTCGCCAGTCCCCCGCTCCTACCCATCCTCTCAGAGGAAATCATATTCCATTCTTCACTTGAACTCACACATACATCACCTAATGTCGAATTCAGTGCCTGTGTGGTGAGAGCAGGCTGCTAGCCGATTGGTTGGCACTAATCTACGTTAATGTCTAGGTCACTAATATGGGCCGTGAGAAAATATGAACAAGGCTGTTTCAACAACCAATCACAGCAAACTTAAATGTGGACAAATATGATTCGCAGATAGATGGCTCTACTTTCCGAGAAATATCGAAAACAACCAATCATAAGACTGTGTTTGTCTGCTTAACTTCCGAGAAACAACCAATCAGAAGACTGCCTTTTTCTGCTTGCATAAGCCTTATTAATGCATATAAAATATATATAAATACGTGTTGATTTTCGTAATAAAACGATCTGTTGCCAGCCCTTGTCTTCTGTTGTTACATTTGGTGTCGCTGCCTCCAAAAAATGAAGATCCCGTGGCCAGCTGCGTTTGAAGAAGGAGACATACGGAGCTTCTTACGTGACTTCGAGGCCGTTGCTGAGCTGGTGGGTGTCAAGGAGCAGGCGGCGAAGGCAGTTGTCCTGGGGACGCTGTTGAGAGGCCGAGCGAAGGCTGCATATGACAGCGTAGACAGGTCAAATGGCACAGCGTCTTGGAAGAAATTGGTTGAACGACTAGTGTCCGAGTTTGACAGCGAAACAGACAGACAGCTAGCAATGCAGCAGTTCCGGTCAATGAAGCTTGGACCTGATGGAGACCCGCTAGTGTTGGCGGTGAAACTGACTAATCTACTTCGACGCGCGCTTCCCACTTTAGATGAAGAATCAGAAGCGCAGTTACTGTCTTCCCAATTCATCGAGAGTGTCCCAGACCACATTTCTCAGCGATTACAACTGGTTAACGCAACGCAGCCGATGGATATTAGTGAGCTGGCGAAGGTGACCAGACAGCTGCTGAGCACAACGGTAGCCGCTATAGACCAACCAAAACCAAACGAATATGAGCAAAAAATTGAAGCATTGCAGCGGGAAGTGGCGGCGTTAAAGTTGGCTGATAGAAAAGACCGGTGTTTTGAATGCGGTAAGCCGGGACACTGGAGAAGATACTGCCCAGAAAGGCGAAAAAGAAAAAATTTCAGACGGTATAATGCTTGTTCTTTCTTTCGTATGAACCTAGATTTAGTGGGGGCTATTGAGAAAGGGGCTCTGTATTCGAAGTTGCGAGTGAATGATCGAGAAGTAGTATGTTTGATAGATACAGGGGCGGCCGTGTCGTTAATAGATAAGAATTTATGTAAGAGTGTTAGTCCGTGTTCATTGACAGTACAAACAGTAGGCGGGTATGTGTTGCGTATCACGGGTAGATCGAACTGTACGGTCGTTGTTGGTGGCTGCGAGGTGACGTTTCCTTTCATTGTTGTACCCGAACTACAGCGAACGATATTAGGAGCGGATTTTCTGCGTGAGATTGGTGCCATAATCGACACGCAAGCGAACGTGGTGATCACGAAATACGGGCATATCAACATGTATGAGACCAGCGAGATAGCAGCGATTAAGCTGTCGACGGTACACAATGTGACAGAGTTAATTAATAAATACGATCATCTGTTCACTGGAGATGGCGACCCATACGGTTATTGCGATAAGGTGAATCATGAAATTCCGTTAAGTGATCCGAAAGTAAGGTCATTTTTAACGCGAAGAGTTCCATGTCATCTGGAAGGCGAAGTGGAGCGACAAGTGCAAGAGATGTTAAAAGATGATATTATTGAGGAAGCTGATAGCCCATACAACTCTCCAGTGCTGTTAGTAAAAAAAGCGAATGGGAAGTATAGATTCTGTGTTGATTTTCGACAGTTAAACAGTATGACAGAGTTAAGACCGTGTGCCATGCCAACAGTGGTAGAAACTTTAGATCGCCTACAAGGTGCGAATGTGTTTTCGGTTCTCGATCTTCGCTCAGGATACTGGCAGATACCGATAAAACAAAGTGATAGAGATAAGACGGCTTTCATCGTGGGTCAGACACAATATCGATTTAAACGCATGCCGTTTGGACTAGCAGGTGCACCGTTTACGTTCAGACGACTGATGAAGCTATTACTTAAGAACTTGAAAAACGTGGAGGTTTATGGTGATGATCTCGTCATATACAGTCAAAACGAAAACGATCACGTCAACCATGTAGAAGCCGTGCTGCGACGCATCGAAGAGTTTGGACTACGCGTCAACAAAACCAAGTCTCAGATAGCCAAAAAGAATGTTACTCTGTTGGGACATAAAGTGGGAAATGGTGAGATTAAACCACTGCCGGAGAAAATTTTGACGATTAAAACGATTCCAGCCCCGAATTCAAAGAGAAAACTGAGACAATTCTTGGGTAGAGCAGCGTTTTATAGTCGCTTCGTGAAGAACTTCAATGAGATAGCAGCCCCTCTATACAGGCTACTAGGTGAGCCAAAGTTTGTTTGGTCGGAAGAATCGCAGAGGACATTCGACAGAATTAAACAGCTGCTCGACCACCAACAAATGACGCTAAAACTACCTGTGCCAGGAAGACAGTTCACAGTGTGCACAGATGCCAGTGACTACGCTATAGGTGCGGTCCTAAGACAGGACGAGGGAATCGTTGAGTATGCCAGTAGGGTTTTGACCCTCACAGAGAGAAAGTATTCAACGATAGAGAAAGAATGTTTAGCAATGGTATGGGCAGTCGACAAATGGAGACCTTATTTACTCGGCCGGCGGTTCCACATCGAAACTGATCATAAGCCGCTACAATTTTTGAAGACAGCGAGAGACCCACGGGGGAAGTTGTCACGGTGGATGTTGCGTCTTCAGGAGTACGATTTTACGATCTCACACGTTCCTGGAAGTGAAAATGTCTTGGCAGATTTGTTATCGAGACCAGAAGATGAGTCTGAGTTGCCCGAGGTCGCTTACGGAGTGCATGCAGTAGAACAAGACCCACTAAGACTTGCACGTAGGCAGAGGTTGGACGATACGCTGAATACAGTAATACAGGTGATCACCAACGGAATAGAAGTGGATCAAACTACGGCGAGTAAGGAGCTAACCACACTACTCAGACAGAGGGATCGACTCAGAGTGAATGCCTACGGGACTCTGACCTGGCGAGAGAACGACGGAAGCTGGCTGGCTGTCATACCTCAATCGTCGCGCCACGACATGATAGAAGAATGTCACCAGCTAGCGCATACAGGCGTGGCCAGAACGACCGACCTCCTAAGACAAAGTATGTACTGGCCAGGTATGAGAGAAGACGTAGCAAGATACGTACTTGGATGTCCACGGTGCCAGCTGATGAAAGGTGACCGGTATATACGACCACCACTTCAGTCGATTCCAGTTACCGCGATAGGTGACTTGTGGTCCGTAGATGTCATGGGTCCATTTCCTCAGACATCCAATGGTAATCAGTACCTCTTGGTGATGACGGAACACGCGACACGATGGGTAGACGCCGTAGCAATCCCAGACCAACGTGCAAGAACCGTGACAGATGCAGTAGTTAGACACATTGTTGCAGACCACGGCGTACCGAAGACAATACTGACAGACCAAGGTCCCTGTTTCGAGAGTGAAGAGTTTACTTCCCGTTTGCAACAGCTGGGCATCAAGAGGATCAGAACGACCCCATACCATCCACAAACGAATGGCCTAACGGAGAGAAACAACCGTACACTGAAGGAGTGGCTGGCCTCGAAGGGCGGGAACTGGGAAACGGAGCTTCCACTGATTTTACTAACACATCGGGCTACCACTCAGGAAACAACGAAGAAGTCACCCTTCCAACTGATGTATGGTAGAAAACCACGATTACCGGTACACAATGAGACCTGGCCCATGCACCAAAAGTGGAGTACGACGAAATTAAAAGCAGAGAGGAAAGAGGCAGTCAAGAATGTAATACGGAAGCAGCGCAGTGATGTCACGAAGTCTCAGATGAAAGAAAGGACGCAGTGCATTACCTTTGCAGTCGGGGACCAAGTGAAGTGTAGAGACAGGAGATATACAGTTGGAGGCGGGCTAGGTTCACGGAAACTCCTTCCAAAGTGGGAAGGACCATACACAATCACAAAAAGACGGGGTCAAGTATATACCATCCGAAGAGGTGATAAACAGAAACGAGTTAACGCCAGTCAGCTCCAAAGATGGGTACAGTGGGACAAGCCGGTCAGTAACAATCCTCAACTAGAGGATGTAGCACCCAGAAGGTCGGAACGTCTGCGCACGAAGCTATTTGACGGGGGGACGAGTGTGGTGAGAGCAGGCTGCTAGCCGATTGGTTGGCACTAATCTACGTTAATGTCTAGGTCACTAATATGGGCCGTGAGAAAATATGAACAAGGCTGTTTCAACAACCAATCACAGCAAACTTAAATGTGGACAAATATGATTCGCAGATAGATGGCTCTACTTTCCGAGAAATATCGAAAACAACCAATCATAAGACTGTGTTTGTCTGCTTAACTTCCGAGAAACAACCAATCAGAAGACTGCCTTTTTCTGCTTGCATAAGCCTTATTAATGCATATAAAATATATATAAATACGTGTTGATTTTCGTAATAAAACGATCTGCTGCCAGCCCTTGTCTTCTGTTGTTACATTTGGTGTCGCTGCCTCCAAAAAAATGAAGATCCCGTGGCCAGCTGCGTTTGAAGAAGGAGACATACGGAGCTTCTTACGTGACTTCGAGGCCGTTGCTGAGCTGGTGGGTGTCAAGGAGCAGGCGGCGAAGGCAGTTATCCTGGGGACGCTGTTGAGAGGCCGAGCGAAGGCGGCATATGACAGCGTAGACAGGTCAAATGGCACAGTGTCTTGGAAGAAATTGGTTGAACGACTAGTGTCCGAGTTTGACAGCGAAACAGACAGACAGCTAGCGATGGAGCAGTTCCGGTCAACGAAGCTGGGACCGGATGGAGACCCGCTAGTGTTGGCGGTGAAACTGACTAATCTACTTCGACGCGCGCTTCCCACTTTAGATGAAGAATCAGAAGCGCAGTTACTGTCTTCCCAATTCATCGAGAGTGTCCCAGACCACATTTCTCAGCGATTACAACTGGTTAACGCAACGCAGCCGATGGATATTAGTGAGCTGGCGAAGGTGACCAGACAGCTGCTGAGCACAACGGTAGCCGCTATAGACCAACCAAAACCAAACGAATATGAGCAGAAAATTGAAGCATTGCAGCGGGAAGTGGCGGCGTTAAAGTTGGCTGATAGAAAAGACCGGTGTTTTGAATGCGGTAAGCCGGGACACTGGAGAAGATACTGCCCAGAAAGGCGAAAAAGAAAAAATTTCAGACGGTATAATGCTTGTTCTTTCTTTCGTATGAACCTAGATTTAGTGGGGGCTATTGAGAAAGGGGCTCTGTATTCGAAGTTGCGAGTGAATGATCGAGAAGTAGTATGTTTGATAGATACAGGGGCGGCTGTGTCGTTAATAGATAAGAATTTATGTAAGAGTGTTAGTCCGTGTTCATTGACAGTACAAACAGTAGGCGGGTATGTGTTGCGTATCACGGGTAGATCGAACTGTACGGTCGTGTTTGTCTGCTTAACTTCCGAGAAACAACCAATCAGAAGACTGCCTTTTTCTGCTTGCATAAGCCTTATTAATGCATATAAAATATATATAAATACGTGTTGATTTTCGTAATAAAACGATGTGTTGCCAGCCCTTGTCTTCTGTTGTTACACCTGTACTTCTCATATATTCAAGTCACAGATAATCCTCTGCTGAACTGATTAGTGTTCATTATCCGGTCAATCAACAATGAATAATCAGTCGTAAGTGTCGATCTTATCCTGTGAAGTAAGTGTATAAAGTGTAGGATCCAAGTTAGATCTTCTTATTTTCTTAGCACGTGTAAATGCATGTGACTCTCAAAACGGACCTTACATTGAGATGATACGTAACGCCTCTCCTATTCAATCTCTCTATTTAACTAAAAGGTGCATCAGTGGTAGAGTGCTCGCCGACCACGCACGTGGTCCGCGGTTCGATCCCTGGCCGACGCACTCCTTTACCTCGCTAAGCCAGTAATAAGACTGGCAAAGTGGGAAAGTTGGATTTGTGGCTAGCAACCCCATCCTGTAAAAACAATCACCACTGCTACAGAAACTTCAAGTCCTATATTCCACAAGGAACGTAAAGGAATAAAAAAATTTAACTAAAAGACTTTAGTCCTTCTCACAATATTTTATGATATTTAAATAGATTAGAGTTGAATCATATGAACGTACAAACACGAGTTACTTCACCGTCTATCCTTCTCTTTTGCTTTCATACAGAGTGAATTTTACAACGTCTGTCATACGAAAGCTCAATATGAAGAGTTCGGTCCAGCGATATGTCGTCATAATCCAGTGTTTGGTACAATGACATAAATGTGATATATACATATATATTTATATATGAATCATTATTAATATTATTTTCTGATTTTATTTTAAAGCTTTTTATAATAATATATCGTGAATATTCTCAGCTAGTTATTTTAAACAACAAGGTAGTCTTATTTTTAAAATCAGTTTTGTAACAAACACACTTTGCCAGTACTTTGTGCACATTGATTACAACACACAGCAGTTTGTAAATGATTGTTAGAAATCAACTCAAATGATGCTGTGCTAGTGTAAACCTTTTCTTAATTGTATTCAGTACTTTTCTGCTCATTAAATTATGCATATTCTTAAATATATTGGAGCTTTTGAATTATTTCGCAATTCCGAGTTTTCGCAAGGAGGATTTCGATTAATTTCTCTTGCTAGATTTAGTCACTAATCATTAAATAGGCAATCATTAAAAGCCAGCAGGGAGCAGAAATGTGCACATACAATCGCACCACGCACAGATAGTACCCTGGGTCTCCAGATTACGGAGTTGTTGCTTCGTGATGAAGTCTACGTTGAAATTAATGCCCCGACCGAAAGCTGCTACCTTGACGTGATGGTTGGGCTTGAACACCGCACTGACCTAATCAAGCTATACTGGCTGAGACTTATGTCTCTTGAGGTTCTACCATGCCAGAAAGGTTGTTTGGATAGCGGTTAGACAAAAAGCAGCTACCCAATCCAACACTGTGATACATACAAACTCACAAAATATCATGCCGGATCGGTCGGGGGCCGGATTAACAACGACCGCGCTTCCTGCTGCCGTGTCACAGGGCAGGAGTGATAAATATTCTACTGAGACACACCAAACAATAAAGAACAAACGAAAACAGGCCGCGTGAGACCGGCTTCAAGCAGTTGTCTCCTGGGCTCTGCGGTCACGCAACCAACTTCCACGGCGTGGGCAGCCGGGAAGTAACAATCACCCTCACAATCTGAAATGCACACGAAACCTCCCTAATCCTCACTCATCTTTGTTTTCATCTTCATCTCTATTATCTTGCTTTCCTCCACTGATGCAACTCCTCTACTTGATTGCTCCTCACTTCCTCTTCACTCTGTGTCCACTAAAAACGACGGAAGCCAAAAAACCACCACCGATAGTCTCCTAAAGCCACGCCACCAATTTCATATAGGAGCATTTAATGTTAGGATACTTTGCCAAATAGGACAACAAGCATCACTAGCCAAGACCCTGGCATCCCGAGCCATTGATGTATGTTGTGTTTCAGAAACACGCGTACAAGACCCAAGTGTGGTTATTCACCTAACCCCATCTGGCCAACAGGTTGAATCTGCAAAATTCACCTTGAGGGTGTCAGGAGATGCCACAGCTAGTTCATGAGGGTTAGCTGGCGTAGGGATAGCTTTGAGTACTAGGGCAGAGAAGACATAACTTGACTGGATCCCGGTAGATAGCCGAATGTGTGCTGTCCGTCTGAACGGATCAGTAAAAAGGAGAAAGGACTGCACTACTCGCCGATGCCTTTTCGTAATCTCCGCCTACGCCCCCACTGACTGCAGTTCGGATGAAACGAAGGATGAGTTCTACCAAATGCTGTCTAGTTTGCTGCGGAAGGTTAAACGCTCAGATATAGTCGTTCTAGCTAGTGACTTTAATGGTCAAGTAGGGAAATTGTGTCGATCTGAGAAGGATGTCGGTGGCACCTATGGAGTTCCGTGCCAGCGAACCGACAACGGTGACCGTCTCCTACAGTTCTGTTCAGATAATCATTTGCTTCTTGTAAGCACTAACTTCAAACACAAGGAGAGACACTGTTTGACCTGGCGACCACCTTCATCAAACCAGCGCTGGACACAAATAGACCACATAGCAATAAGCTATCGTTGGCGTGGGTCGGTAGGAGATTGTCGGTTAAACCATCACGTCCCCAGCTCGATCAGGAAACTAAATCCGTATTTGAGGAAGAACTAGCTAACCACATATATGAGTTGGACAGCTGTGCTCACCCTGAAGAAGCCTGCAAGAATATTCAGTCGGCCATAGATACAGCTGTTAATAAGGTAAATCCAAAGGTGAGTAAAATCCATTCGATACTCATATGAGTCTTTCTTGATTGTTATTTATAATATTATGCCAATTATACACAGTGATGTGGACGTTTTTGGTTTCTAAAAGGAAACTGTGGTTAGTTTTCACCTAGAACTGTAGTTTGCGAATAGCGAATTTGATTCAGTATGACAAAAAAAGACTAGCATATCTATAATGCAGACAAGCCATTTGGGACTCAGATACTCAGTCTGAGGCGAACAGAAACAATTGTGACATATAGGGACGTATAATTGTACCACGTGGCTAATTATTCCTCCATGTAAATTTCTTTACGAACTGAAAGACACTGAGATATTTCCTTCAGACGGAACTTACTATGAAATCAGTTCAGTATTATTATTACTATTGAAAACACAAACTTTGTACATTATGAGCACCGACAGATATGCCATACGAAATCCTGTAGTTCGTGCAAGCCCTGGGATACTGACTGGGTGCTCATACCGAGGCAGGTAATGGTCTTAAATGACCACACAGAACGTCCGAGCCTCTGATCCACAAGACAGTGGAGCTACGTCTGCATGGTCGATAGTGACCCAAACAGGTTCATAAGACATTGGGTCCCTTCGGATTTTGGAGCCCATGTACACACCATAGGTTTGCAATTAATAGTGTTCTCTGAGCTGGTTGGTTTAGCTGCGGAGCTTTCGTCATCTTTCTGGACGACATCTTCAGCGCAGTATTTAGGATAAAGTGAAATGATTTCAATTTTTCATGAGTATTATAATTGCGTCTCCCGTTAACCATCTTTAGATATGTATTGACCGTTTTCTATTGATTGGGATTTTAAACTTTCTTGTCATCTGATTTACTTTTTATTGGTTGATATATTTCATCTATATTAACGTGTTTACTAATTGCAACTAAACCAACCAGCTCAGAGAACACCATTAATTGCAAACCATCCACCTGAGTTACAAATTTTTTCTATTACACCATAGGTTTGATATCAGGGTTTTCCAGACCCACCAGGTAGACCTGTATGTCCACCAGTATGGTTGTAAGCCTCAAACGTTTGAATTCACCTTTCCTCTCAGTAACTTGATGTATGTCCGCCGATGATTGCCAGCTGACAATGAACTAGGCTTCCTGTTACTCTAGTGAGTTGTCACCAATAGGATATACTAATTTCACATTTGAGAACATATGTCAATGATACTGGATGGCAGTTGTGCTATATTATGAACTGAAAGAAGTATTGCTTGCCTCAAAACTTAACAACCTCAACCTTTATTAACCATGAAGTCGTAGATCTAAAAGTAGAACAAAAGGACTGACCAGTATAGTTTTTGGTTCCCAGTGATTCACAATAACCTGTCTAGATTCATGGCAAATTCGGTTTTTTTAAATGCAGTCACATCTTACAAACCTAAAGATTTACAAATTCTTAACTTTTAGTGCCTTTTAATCTTTCTGGATTATACCATCTGGATTATACTCTCTTATGCATGTATTACACAGAACAATAGTCGTTCTTACTTCGACTCACTGAAAAGTTTCTTTTAAAAATAACACACTCCGATAATGTGAAAAAGTCACATGCGCAGAATAGACGTGGAGGTTACATTGGATAAACGTGCGTCGGCCGTTCGGTGGTGAGGAATGAGCCAACCACGCCATATACGGTCCAGCTCGGGGCTTGATTCCCCACCGAAGCACTCCTAAAATGCACCAAGTCGGTAGTAAACCCGGAAAAGATGGGAGGCTAGTAAACCCAACCTGTAAAAGAAGCATCGCTGCCAATGAAACCTAAACGCCCAAACTTGAAGCCCTATGCTCCACTGAGAACGCACAAAGAAATGATATACATAATAAACAGAAAGGAACACTTTTGCCTACCTTTACACGACCACCAGTAAGTTCCTCAGTCATTTTCAAACGATTATCAACGTTTCTTTTTATATCTCTTTGTAAACGACGATCCAAGTGTTTAAACATTGAACTACCTCCAGATAAAACAATATTCTACGAAAAATGGCAAAATGAATTTACATTAATACCGTTATTATTATTCCTGACAAAGAACAGTTTTAAATCCTTAACTGACACTAAATTTACGCAAAACACTCTAATATTACCCTACTAGGCAGATGATAAGATTATTTAGGCTACAAATATCCAACTAAAATAATAAAAGTACAAAATAGAACCAGAAACCAGGATATACAATTAACTTACCTGACGCACAGTGTTGGAAATAAACTGGGATTAGGATTTTTGCAAAAACTATGAATGCATACTGAAGACTACTACATTTACAAACGACCTGATACGATCAAAGATGAGCAGGCTGTCATCATGCGGCCACGCGTGCATTGCCTCTGCCAGGTAAATCCCATTCACTGCCTTCACAAAAGTGAAAAAGCGAATGCGAAAGTCTGGTGCTTACAACCGGTCTATGTAGGGGAGGTGGAAAAACTCTGACTCAAAAAATATGATGTATATATTCTCTAGTCTCCGAAAGGATCCAATGGTGTGAGAACCGGCTTTAGACACCAGCAGTCATGGTGCGCCCTAGCTGTTTTGTGAATGAGACTTCAAGTCAAAGGGTCGGTTGGATGTGTGGCCTCTTAAGACAACCTTCTTCAGTCTGGGCGTCCGAGCAACATGAGATATTACGTGTGCTGCATCTCTTGACGTCCATAATGTACCAAGTCTGAGTTCCATTAGTAAAAAATAAACGAAAAAAGCTGCACTGTGAATAATAGATTCTCTCATTAATCATTAGTCAGTAATATAGCTTTCGCTTATTGGTGTAAGTACACAACTACCAACTCCTAAGTGATGAGTTACACGAACTTTGATTCAACTAGCTAGGGGGAATAGGGAGTTTTCATTTAAGAAAGGGGTGAGTTAAGCTTTAGTGTACAATATTGTATGTGGCTGTTAAGTGGCGTGCAATTCAACCGACTGCATT